ATCCGCATTAATTGCGCATATATCGATCATAAGATGAAGCGTCATTCGCTCATCAGAGAATCGAGACGCTGCACTGGGGAGGAGACCGCCACACGTCAGGATCGCTCTAAACATGATGAGGGACCATCGTCGTATCTACCGCGGGACCCAATCTCCGTCCCGCATTAGTTCCATCGATAACGATATGTCTCGAACACACGCACTCATCCTCGATTTCAGCCGTGCGCACGCCGGCTTAATCATTACGTAAGTGCATCACAAAATGCTGGTCGCTATCTCTTTGTGAACGAGGGGATAATCGTTTCAATTAAGCCGCTTTCCCACGGATTCCGCGTGCGTGCGTGCACGCACGAGTCCCGTCTGGGTAGAGTATACCGTGCTGTGCGATCGATATCAATAACGTCCTACCGCATGCAGTATAAAGTATCGTCGATATCGAATAATTTCGCAAGGCCTTTTATCGGTCGGGCCGTTTAATAAGCATGTATCGGGTTTTATCATTAATCTTTATTTGCCCGCGCCGGATCTTATACGGTCGAAGTTGAAGCGCGTTATTTTCGGATTATTTCGCCGATGAAACGGATTCGGGATAAAGATTGCATTCGCCCGACGTGCGATAATGTCCGAGGAAAAATCTATGAAAACAAATCGCGACGCCGCGCGCCCGCGCCGCGCCGTTCATGGTACCTGCGCGCGCCCGCGCGCCTCACGCCGATATATCGGATTTTCATCGGTTGTTTTTTTTATCTTTCCTTTTTATATACAGGTACATAAAAAAATATTACATTCCGCTCGCCGACGGTATTGGTTATTAAACGCTTTCGAATGAATACTGCATGAGCGCGCCGCGCTCGAGAATATAACCGTCCGTGTGTTGTATATCCACTCGCCCGTGCGTGGGCACATGCACACACTCGAGCGCGATCTGCGACTGGCGTTAAATAATTTTTTGCTTTTCACAAAGTGAAAAATGTGATATCCGTAAAAAGTAATCCGCTTGTCCGAGCGGTAATCGGATGAACCGATTTAGATCGGACATACACTCGATCGCAAAAGTCCGCGGGACTTAAGAAAAAGCGTGTGAGAAAGCGTGGGAATTAATATCGCTATATCGATCTATTTAGGTTTCCTTGAGAGGTACACTCGGTAATTTAAGTTCGAAAAATGAAAAAGAAGGACGGAGGAGAGAGCGGAGAGACGGCGCTGTGTGTTAGGAACACGGTCTAAATATACGAACGATCTCGGCGAATCTGCGATTCGTTTGTCTCGCGTTTACTCTCGCGTGCAATGTCGACCGTTTAACGCGACAAAGAAACAGATCGTTTGCTTCATCTTTCTCGGCCATTCTTCCACGAAAACGTTCTTTGGCGATTAACAGGATTAGCAAGCGCTTCTGGTAAGTGCAAATGAGCACAAAGGCCGCGAAGCGAATGCACAAACTGGCCATACGGCTTTCCTTCAGGAATGCTTTGCCTTTTTAGAAAAAGGAATTAATTCTCAAGATTTGTTGGCAATAATAAAAATCATTAATAATTTTGATATTACTGTTACATATATTTTGATTTTCGTAAGTTAAACTTCTGGAATTCAAACGGGTAAGAAAATATTACACGGAAAGAACGATTTTGTTGAAAGATCTAAAAATTTTGCTAAAAACAGATCTGAAAATAATCTGTTGTTGAGTTATCAAAATAATTTGTTGGAATGTTAAAACTGATAAGCATTGCTATAAAACGTTTTGATATTTTAGCAATCACTTTGACTTTTACACAAAATTATTTTGATTATTGAACAAAAATTATTTTCAGATCTGGATTGTTTTTTCCATGTATCTTTGTTTTATTTATCTTATATTTGCTTAATCATGACAATTAATTAAATCTTCGCAAAGATTTTTGCAAAGATTAACTTTAAAGTAATGAAGTGTCGGTTAGATGAGAAGGAAAAATATGAAAAATTGGAAACCGTCTCATATAAAATAAATACGTGGCTCCGGACAGTCTCCGAGTCGAAAAGATATATCTGGCAGTTTTACGTTAGTTATTATTGTATCTGTTTGAATTAGCAATTATGAAACGGATTCGTGACAGAGCAGCGAAAAGCTACAAGCTCTACCCTCTCTCGAGTACCTACAATGTTAGTCCTGTGTCTTGAAGTTTATGAGATTTGCGCTTGTACTATTCTCGCAAAACAGGTGTCTAGACTTCCCGTTTACCGCGGAAAAGTTCAAAATTACCTTTCCCGAGGTACTACGTACTACAGCATTCATTCATCATTCACAACCTGTCGTCTGGACCGTGACTGTTCCAACTAATTTGGTCCGCACATTTCTTTCCACAGAGTCAACGAGCGCCAAGAAAAGCCCCGCAGCTCTGTTTGCTTTTGTTCTTCTGAACTATTTCCAATTTGTTTTCCCGAAGCAGTCAGCAACTCGGGCAAGCTCAGCTTCTTTTGTCGAACATCTCGTCCCTCGCTCGTGCACAAATAAAGTCGATCGGTGGGATTGACATTCATGAGTTTTACCGTTTATTCGTTTAGAATTTATCCTCACGGCCGAGCCGTTAGAAACAGAATTATGATAATCAGAGACAGTTGTAAATTTTCAGAACCACATTTTTTTTTTTTATATTTTTCTCAAGTTCCGTAGACTTTTGCGAGCGAGTGTATGCCCGATCTAAACGGTTCATCCGATTATCGGACAAGCGGATTACTTTTTACGTATTAGAATCCTAATAATGTCTGCAGGAACGGCGCGAATTCGAAAATTGAACCGAGATTATTGTGCAGCATACCTCTATTTTTAATTTTTACGCTGTTATGTTCATAACGATAAAATAACGACATTTTAATCTTTTAATAGTACATAACCAAACTTGCTGGATAAACAAACAGTGCCGAGGCTTGTAGAAATAATAAAGACGATAGGGCGCAGTACTGGATGGTGGCGAGCGAGTGTTTAGCCAAAGGTTAGGTGCTCGGTAGAGTATTATTTGCTAAGCTAATGAGTAGTTTCCACGTTGTTCGGCAATCAACAAAGGCGGACAAAGGACTTCCGGTCACGTCGCGTCGTCGGCCGGGGGAGCCGCGTCGAGGACTCCGCCACCGTCTAATTTCGACTCCTTCACGCGACAACTTCGCTAACAGTAGTGACGGTGCTATGTAAACAGCTGCACTTCCCTCGCCATTAAGTATGTAGTGTTAAGAATTAACCCGCCGAGAACGCAATACGTGGTGTAATGGTAATGGACACACACCTGACAAACAATGTGATATTTTCCTTAAATAAAAAGTTTTCGCGACATAACGTTCTTTGGTTTTTTCTAATTTTTCTTTTTATTCCGTGTCTCATTTTCACAGAGAAATGCTTTTCTCACCGCGTCCGATTTTTTAACAGTAAGTAATTCTTACGGCAGGAAACGCGCGTGTAATTTTTTCAACAATATAATTTTATTGTCATTTTCATATTTATAATTGAACGCACATCGGGAGAGCTCGTTCTATGGCAGGCGCAGTAATAAATCTTTCCCCGTGTGATATTCTATTTCTGGAATTAATGACGCAACAAGAACAAGAATATTAATGATCTCGCGTTCAGGAGCAAACGCGAATATATTCAGCAAGCTTTACGTTAGGTATGTGGATATATCGACGCGAATGAAAGAGCTCCCTCAAAGACAGAGATAACGAGGCAGCGAAAATATAACGATATGCGCGATGCCGAGCGTGCAATTTCCTAATGTGGCCATTTCGCCGGCGGCTGAAAACATCTTTGATTATTCGCTGTAATAAGCGAACGGACGCGCGAGCTGAAGTGCTAATGGGCGCGCGATAATCATTCGGACGCGACTATAAGGAACAACGCGGAAGGGTCGGGGGGGAGGACCACTTCAGCATGCGATGCAGTTTTTACCCTTTCGCGCGCGGATTTTCCGCGCTGCCTTCCCCTCTCCCTTTTTTTCCTTCGTTCCGCAACAACCGCAACGTACCTTGCTAACAAAGTATGTTAATGGCGCGCGGCTGATTAAAGGTTTTAATCCTGATGTCCGTAACTCCCGGCCCCTTCTTCTTCTTCTATTTCTTCTTCGCGCGTTTTCGTCCGAAGTAAAAAAAAAAAAAAATGAAAGGCAACGCCCTTTGTTCGCATCCGACTCCGTCGGTCATTAAAGTCGATCTCCGATGAAAAGTCGCCCGTCGTATTGCCTCGCTCTGCAACCGCGCGCGCGCGCGCGCACGCGAGAAAACGCGAAAATACATACTGCAATGCACTCGTGGGAATCGAATCGCCTCCTCCTTGGAGCATCGGAAAACGGGCGTCTCGTATTTCTTATTTTACGGAAACGTAGCGCGGTATTCCGCGGAAAAATGCACAGTAAGTATCCTCTCTGTCTCCGGAGGACCCGTGGAGAGACTGAAAATATATATCGCTTAAGGGAATACTGCGAAATCGAATAAGGATACGTAGACGACGTGCGGCCTACACGCAATACGATCGTAACGTTTCGAGCTAAATAATCGGTAAGATATACTTTTATTACTATTGCGCATTGCAACACACTGCAGTAAACACGCGCTGACGCTTATTCCTATAGTCAGTGGAAAATGTCTCACGGTCAAATTAAATTAAAGCATATTAACTTCTTTCTGACAGAAGCTTCAGTTTAGAAAATATTTCTCGCAGATAAGACCGATTGGCAGCATTTTAGTTACGGCCGTGGAAATTAGTTAAGATAACAGATAGAGACCCACATTTTTTTACTCGCGTTCGAGGAAATTGCGCGACGCGCGCTTTACGACGTGTTTACTCCTTTTTTCTAATTATAGATAAATAAGCGGCAAATCCCACGGATACTTAGCGCAACGTCGGAAATCATCCGCGTTTGCGTAATTTCCGGTCGAGTTAAGAGAAGCGTCGCTGGCAATCCGTTTTCCGAAGGGGCGCGCGCGCGCGCGCTTTAACGGCCGCTTCGATAAGAACGCCGCGCACTTGATGGAATTTCGCAGGCGACGCGCTCTGGGATTCCGGTATAAAGGACGCTCGCGCGATCGCAATTCTATACAGTAACGCGTCCTAACCCCAGCATGTACCGACTTCTTTTCTTCGCGTTGTTAATATACACCGTTTCGGCCGAATCATGTATCATTCAAGACAAGAAGGTACGGAGAATTGACTTGATCTTACCGTTGAAACGCGTGGTGCGCGCTATAGTGGTAGACCACAATTATGTGCTAATCTCACTTGGTTCCGTTTCCGTCTTAGGGAAAACCGGACATTCGGGTGATCGAATTAGACGATTCAAGCAGCGACTCCGACGTGAGTAATCGCGTTACTTTACTTTGCACAATTCCTCTCTGTGCTTGTTACAACTGAAGGATTTGCAACAGTGGACCCTGCCACTCTAAAAAATATTGATGTGAAATTTCACCACACTTATGTGGTTAAATATTTCTCTCGGTGTGAATATTAACACCAAATTATTGAAAATTTTTCACACCGACAAATGCGATGTTAAATTATGATGCGATTTTATGTGCTTTCACAATATGCGGTGTGATGACGCTTATATGTGATTACACAGACACGTGATGTCAAACAATCGCCATAATATGTTAAGATTCACCGTTCTTTGTGTGGAAATTCACATCGCAACAAAGTGAGTTTTTTACACCAATCAGATAGTATTAATTTTACACCAACATGGTGAGAATTATATAGATACCCCGCGTGTGAGTGTTAAAATCCACACCAGTGGTGTTATTATGACACCAGTGGTATGGATTTTTAGAGAATATTTTTTACAGTGTGCACATTCTCCGTAAAAACGGAGAGAATAAACTTTAAAGTTGAAGCAATGGGAAAATATCTCGTTAATACACGGAAAGAACGATTTTGTTGAAAGGTCTAAAAATTTTGCTGAAAACGGATCTGAAAATAATTTTTTGTTGAATCATTAAAATAATTTGTTGGAATGTCAAAACTGATAAGCATTGCTATAAAACGTTTTGATATTCTAGCAATCATTTTGACTTTTGTACAAAATTATTTTGATTATTAAAATATTTGAAATTGAACAAAAATTATTTTCAGATCTGAATTCAGCAAAATTTTTCTTTCCGTGTATGGATCTTCCATCTACTTCTATACCATATTTTATATTTAACTACATTGTGGGTTAGCTTATTGTCGCAGCAAATCCTTCTTTTTTTTTTTAAATTTTCTAAAACTAATTTTGTGTTAATATCGTATTTCTGAGTTTGATACGCTCCTGCGATCGTCCTGCAATAACGTCATCAACATTTTCTCAGAGCGAATCAGAAGTCATAGCTCTACATCTGCCAGACAGGCGAAGGAGGGAAATTATCGAGATTCGTAACCAGGAAGGAGGCAAGAACTTCTGCAAGGACGATGACGATTGCGGCCCAGGATCAATCTGTGTAGCACATCTGACCTGCGGTATGCAATACAGACTTCCTCGGATTAAAATTCGCAGTCAGATACAGGTCGTGGACATATCGGTTGCGACACTTTTTTTCATAATTTTTAGTATATATTTAATATATATACACTCGACAGCAAAATTAAAGCATCACCCATTCTGATCACTAAAAATAGGCAAATTTCAAGAGAGTGTAACTTCGTCAAAAATGATCGTATCGGAATGATCAAAAAAGCATTTTAAAGCTTAAAGTCTCTACTTTCGACACCCATAATTCATTAAATTACTTACTGATTCTTTACAAAGCTGCACGGATGCAAATGGAGATGCATCAAATCTAAAAATTGTTTACCAAGTTTGCGAAGTTCCAAAAACTAAACTAAAAATCGCACGCAAATGA